CACTGGGATTATCTCTCATGCCAAAATGCAGAGGGGAAAAAAAAAGCTGTTATTCATCTTCCAGCCATACTCCCTTGAATATTTAACTTTAAATGTGGATAGTTTCAGAAAACCCTTTTATTTTCAAGAAAGTTTTCTTTCTTTTTGAATCTCTTCAACCAACCACTCACAACCATATATAATGAGTTTTGGTGCCCTCTTATGGCATGCATTGCAGGCAGAACACTGTTTACATAATAAATAAAATAAATCTGTAAAAAACAATCTCTTCCAGCCCTCATATGCCTAAGCATGCAGAAGAGAGCACTTGGGTTCCCTGGCTCCGAAGTTACAGGTTGTTGTGAGCTACTTGAACTGGTTGGTGGGAACATGACTATGGTCTCTGCAAGCATTTTTAACAGCTGAGCCATCTCTCCAGACCCTAATTTTTTTTTTGGTTTTTCGAGACAAGGTTTCTCTGTGGCTTTGGAGGCTGTCCTGGAACTAGCTCTTGTAGACCGGGCAGAGTTCCACTTGCCTCTGCCTCCCAAATGCTGGGATTAAAGGCATGCACCACCAACGCCCAGCCCTGATTTTCTACTTCAAGAAACATACCTGAAAAAACAAGCAAGCACAGTCTGGGTGTTAAAAGGGATGTTTGGGCTGGGTGGTATTTGGTGGCACACACCTTTAATCCCAACACTTGAGAGGCGAAAAGCAGGTGGATCTCCTTGACTTCAAGGTCAGCCTGGTCTACAGAACAAGTTTCAGCACAGCCAAGGTTACACAAAGAAATTGTGTCTCGAAAAATAAAAAAAAGGAGGGGTGTTTGGAGAAGAATAAGACAACAGCGTGAAGGTAGAAAGAGAGGTCTGTGGGGACAATAGACTAGTTCTTTACCCCTACCCATGATGAATAAGCCAGAATACATATTTCCCCAAACTCACTTTGAATATTTTATGTCATTCATAAAATCCAGTACCACCATAATTATGAAAGTCACAAATTATCTAAATCAATCAGGATACCATCTCTTCTGTGAGTCACATGGACCACATCCTTTGAAAAAAAATCTTAGAAATGTCAATGCCAGTACATGAAGCAATTTTGATAGAATTACTCAAAATTATTTGGGTGTGGCAGTACACGCCTTTAATCCTAGCCCCCAGAAAGCAGAGGCCCGTGCATCTCCAAGAGGCTGATGACAGTCTTCTCTAGCTACAAGTTCTAGGCCAGCTAGGGCTACATAGCAAGACCTTGTCTCATGAGAACCAAAGAAAACAAGCAACAGATAACACTAGCACAAACCTGTAGAATTTGAAAGAATACCTATACTTACATTGAAGCCTGACATGTTAATGTCTATCCGTGGTTCACCTTCCTTCTGTCCTTTTGGTGCAATCTGATTGAGCAGATGGAAATAGGCTTTGGAATCCTACAAAAGAATTGAAAATATCAGTGTGATCACACTTATAGAGAAGAACTGTATCTTACTATCCCGTGTTAACAAGAACATTTAAGTGGGTCAGATTTTTGTAAAAATATATGGCACCCTTCTCTGTCTTCTTATTTGAGAGATCTTTACCAAGAAAAGTCCTTCTGTCTTGAACTTGAATCTGTTAAGAGTTCACAATACATTGATGCCATCAACACAATAAAGCTAATAAGTGTTTCTGTACCTTCACTGAATTACTGAAGTCAAAAAGCTGGACAGATAAAACAAGCATGAAATAGAAGAACAGAAATCCAGGAAGCATAGGGAAAGAGAAAATAAACACATTATAGCATTATAAAGCATGTTAAATATCAACTTATGGAGTCAACATCTACTATGTTATTTATATAGTTAATTAAAAGTGGGACTGACAGAGAGTCCTAAATGAGAAACATATATAGCTGGTAAAATAACATTTAACCTTTTAGCATCGGAATACATGTAGTAAAACATCCTCATTTTCCCCCCTTTCCCACTGTTCTTGGGATTGAGGTTAAGGCCTTATGTGATGGACAAATGCAAGAATTCTTTGTTTTTCAAAAATATGCAAAGTGGGCTTCATTAAAAAAATTTTTCACTGACAAGGCACATTGCCTGTATGTATTCTTTATTCAGATGCAGGAAGATTGCAAATTTTTAGGCCAGCTTGGCTGACACAGTGAGCTGTAGGCCAATCTGGACTACAAAGTGAAATCATATCTGAAAAAAGACAAATTGGACTTAATAACTAGAGTGCTAGTCTGGCATTCATGAAACTCTGGGTTAAATCCTGACAAACACCTTACAAAATTGAGTAAGGCAATTCATATCATACTCAACTACTTAGCAGATTTGAGGCCAGCCTGGGATACAGGTTGCTTCAAACAATAAACTGCTTCAATTAACAAGTACAAAAACAAACAACAAAAATAAGAAAAAGGAATCATCTAGCTATGGTGCCATGTGTCTGTAAGCCAGCACTCAAGAGGTAGAAATAAAATCACAGTAAGTTTGAGGTCAGCCTTGTGTACAGCAGTGATGTCCAGGGCAGCCTGGGCTACATAAGCAAGACCCTGTCTCAAAACACAAGAGGCAGTAAGGCTTGGTGATATCCTATAATTGTTTGTTTGTTTTGTTTTGTTTTTTTGAGACAGGGTTTCTCTGTATTGTTTTTGAGGCTGTCCTGGAACTCACTCTGTAGACCAGGCTGGCCTGGAACTCACAGAGATCTGCCTGCCTCTGCCTCCCCAGTGCTGGGATTAAAGGCGTGCACCACCAACGCCCAGCTGATACCCTATAATTCTTTTCTCTGTAAAGCTGGAATAAAATCACCCAAGTCATTATAACTCCCCAAATGCTCTGGTTCTTTGCACAGTTACCTTGATGTCAGCACTGAAGTTGTTGATCTTTTGCCAGCCCGAGTTTTCCAGATGAAAGTTGGCCCATCTTAGCAGAAGCTCCTCTGGAGACAATTTCTCCAGCTCCTC